TTATGTGCTTTTTTTTTGTTTACTTTTCTCATTATTTCCAGTCTCACTTAATGCTCCATTCTCCTTTAATTTCATCTTTTTAATCACATCGTTGTGTACTACTGAGCGTTTGTTTCTTCGGATATTTAGACTCTTATAATACTCACAGAATATTCCAGCATACTAAATGTATTCCATTGCTGAATCAGGGTACCAGTGGCTTTATTTGTTCCTAATAATTTGAGTGAAGACTGGTCAAATATTCAGGAAGACAGAATTGGAAAGGTTTATCAGGTTGTGGCAAAGCTAGAGTGGGGGCTTGTGTTAAAGGTTGTTTTAAGGCCTGAAAGGCAGCCTCTTGTTCTTGTCCCCCCAAAGTGGGATCTTTCTCACATCTGTCAGGTTTCCATACAGAGGTTTTGCTGTTTTCCTGGGTTTTACAACCCAGAATCTATGCTGTCCAGTACAATATCCATAGACTTAAAGTTACCTTTTGGTTGTGGGTGTAGGAATATGAAGTGTAGTCTGGATTATCTCTGGTCGTATGGCTTTGGTTCCTGGGGTTGAAATTACTCCCAGGTACTTAGCTTCTTGTTTATTGAGCTGGGCCTTACTTCTAGTAATTTTGTATCCCCAAATGCCAAAAAATTAAGGGTCTCAATGATTATTTTCATGTTACTTCTGTAGGGGAGCAGATTATAGAACATCCATCTATTGGACGATTTTCCGCTTTTTTTTTTTTTTTTTTTTTTGCTTTTTGGGTCACACCCAGCGATGCTCAGGGGTTACTCCTGGCTCTGCACTCAGGAAGTACTCCTGGCGGTACTCAGGGGACCATATGGGATGCTGGGATTCGAACCCAGGTTGGCTGTATGCAAGGCAAACGCCCTACCTGCTGTGCTATTGCTCCAACCCCAATTTTCCACTCTTTTAATTGCAAATCTTCCAGATCTCTGCAAACACTTGACTAAATAAATGGGCACTATCCCAAATCCCATGGGGAGGCACAGTGCAGGTGAGACATGTGAACCACTCCCAGGGTGGTTCTGAATAGGTATTGTGAGTCTTCTGCTATGGGAATGCAGAAAAAAGGCATTCTTTAAAAAAAAAACTTTATTTAAATACCGGGGTTTACAAACTTGTTCACAGTACAGTTGGTATGGGCTAACTAAATGGTTCAACACCAGCCCCACCAGCAGTGTGATCATCCCTCCACTATTAGCCCCAAGTTTCTTCCCCAAGCCTGCCCCATTGGCAGGCGCAACATTTGTTTTACATTACTTGTTAAAACAAAATGGTAAGTATAATTATCAAAAAGCAGTCCAGTAAAAGAAAATTTGTGAAAATTGTTATATCTCCCAATGGTGTTATTATCATTTTCTGAGGATTTACTGAGCAAACTAGTTGGTTGCTCATTGAGCCTTTTGTGTTATTGTTTTCACTTATTGAGCTTAGTTGGCCTCTATGCTACTTTCCCATCTAAGTTGCTGTGCTCCTGCTGGGCTGTCAGGATTGTGGAATTTGGAGGGGTTGTGAGGCTGCATATGTGGCTGTTTACTTCAGAAGCTCCAGGATTTGCTACTTTGGAGTTTTATTGGCTTGGCATTTCTGCAGATAAATAAAGCAGTGAAGTTGGACCGTTTGTGTGGTGGCAGTGGAGGGGGTGTTGTTGTGGTTTCCAGGGATTCAGTTGGGTGGGGACTCAGCTCACTGCCATCCCAAGGGTGACCCAGAGTTTTTTGCCCAAAGGCCAGTGCAGTGAGTTTCTGCAACTTGACTTGTATCTCTTCTGAGGTTTGCATAGCTGTGAAGTGTGGGTGTAGTTGCTAGGACTTCTGGCAATATGGGGGTGTGTGTGTGTCGGGAGAGGGGGGTTGGGGGGAGGGGGGTTGCGGCTACCTGTCTTCATTCCAAGAAGACTCCTCTTTCAGTCCCCAAATCAGTGTTCAGTCCCCAAACCGGTGTAATTGGGAGTTTCATTGTCTGGGCATCTCTGCAGAGATTAGTTGTGAAACAGCCAAGTTGCACTATTTGTTTGGTGGCAGCTGAGGGTGTGGGTACAGTTGTTGGGACTTCAGCAGGACTTGGACTCACCTGACCCCCCTCCGAGGGTGCCTCAGAGTTTTTAGCCCAAAAACAATGTATACTTGCATTCAGTGCATTCTTATCACTTCTCAGATTAGTCATGAAGCTGTGAAACAGGGCTGTTTACATTTAGGCAGCTGTGGGATGTGGGTTATAGTCAGTAATTTTGTTTGTTTGTTTTTGGACCACATACAACAGTTCTAAGTGCATCATCCTTTTGGCTCTGTGATCAAGGATCACTCCTGCCAGGTGGTGCAGGGACTCAGACCAGGAAAGGCTATATGCGAGGCAAGGGCCTTAAGCGCTGTACTATCTCTCTGGCCCGGAAAAAGGAATTCTTTAGGTCTAACATTCAGCTTTGATGTCCCTCCTGGGATCAGGGAGGAATATGTCCAAAGACACACAATGCTTTAGGGACTGTGGGACAGATTGGAAGAATATATTCATTCATCACAATCACAATCACAAATCATCCTGTTAATCGTCGATTGCCTCAAGCAGACCCCAGTAACGTCTCCTTCATCCTAGCCCTGAGATTATATTCAAGGCTCTTTAGGAGAATGAGACCCATCATTGTTACTGGTATTTGGCATACTGGGTACGCCACCGGGAGTTTACCAGACTCTGCCGTGTGGGCAGGCTACATTCGGTAGCCTGCCAGTTTGTCCAAAGTAGGAATGAGATAATAAGATGTCATAATAGGATGTCCAGGAGCTGGTTTTTATAGTCTCTGAGTCTTGGCCGCTGATGGGATTACACGGCGCCAGGGGGCCAGTTGGTGGGTGTGATCCCCGCCTACTGGAATTTGGAGGATCTGGGTGGAGGATGCTGGGCCCAAATCCGAGTAGGCTTGGAGATCTCGGCCCCGGAACCCGCGTGACTTTGTCCCTCTGCCAGTACCTTCATGTGTGCGGAGAGTGGCCTCAGCATGGTGGTGGCTGGTCCTGGAGGTCTTTGGCTGCCGGAGCCCTGGTCGGGGCGGGGAGGAAAGCTCAACCCGCTCCCCTCCAAGGGGCCCCGGCGGTGAGGACAGTCAGGCGCGGGGGCAGTGCTCATTCATAGCACTGAAATCTTGTGCTATTCTCTCATTACCCAACGGTAGTCTTAAGAAATTAAAAACAGAATGTTCTCATATGATCCAGTGACTGTACTCTTTTTATTCCAAGAACACAGAAACATTAATTCAGAGCATACCTATGTTCATTGAAGCACTACTTATAATCAAATTCTGGAAACAACTCAGATGCTAATGTGAGATGAAAAGATAAATTGTAGATAAAAATTACTGCTCAGCTGTAAGAAAAGATGAATGCTGCTTTTTGCTGCAACTTGGGTGGAAATAGAGGGTGTCATATTAAATGAAGTTAGTCAAAGGGAGAAGAAAAAATATCAGGTGATCTCACTTGTGTTATACTGGGAAATTAAGGAAATGGATGCTATCCAGCAAACCCTTGACACTTGACAACAAAACTGAATTTACCAAGTAAGGTAAAGGAGAGGATGGGATCAGGCAGGAAGTAGTGAACTAGAAGTCACATAAGAGCAGTGGTAAAAGGGTCTTTGGCATTTTGGTGGTAACAGATTTGCAGCAACTTAATATACCAAAAGCATTAATATTTCCACTATTTACCTATGTCATCTCAATAACAATAAAATATTAAGAATAATTAAAATAATTCTTTGCAAAAATGGCAACATATTTGCATTTTAATTGTTTTTGTTTTGTAGTGTTAGGATTTATTTCTAATAAAATTACATTAAAATAGAAACTGGTTTTTTAGTTTCTGGCTTATGCGTTCTATAGTGTTCACTATTTTAACATTAGAAGGTGTAAGTTTCACGTGATATTCAGGAATACTGTACTCTTTGACCACAGCAGTATGATCAGAGGTGTCAGAAAACACACAAAAATGGAACTGTCCGAGCACCACTGGGAGTAATTCCTGAGCACAGAGCTGGGAGTGAGCACACTTGAGTACCACCAGGTGTGTCCCCAAAACAAACAGAAAGAATGGGAATGTTGCTGTAAAGGGAATATGTTGTTATTTGAATATTAAGGTTGGGTAAGACCCAGTGGAATCCTTAAAATCCAAGAACTAAAATGAAAATAATAACTTCTACTGAGAATACTTTGACTCTAGGAATTCAGCTGGTCTTGAAAGCAGAGGGAAAATTAGGCAATGCGGAAAACTGGAATTTTCTGTGTGAGTAGAAATGTACCAATTATATTTTATGAAGAGACTGAAATAGAAAAGGTTCTACTTTAAAAAACAGATCAGGAGACCCAGAAGAGGGCTCAGTGGCTTGGGATATACTGAGGGCATGTGCGAGGCCATGAGCGCAATCCTAGACATGCCACATGTGCCGAGGTCTTTGATCCTGACACCTGATCCCGATTGATCCTACCAGTGTCTGGGTATCCCCAGCAAGGGGGGGGGGGGGGAAATAGACCAAGAGTAATTAGGAAAGGACTTTTCTAAATTTAAAATATCTTGGACATTAAGATGAAAAAATCCACTGGGAGAATTTGGGGTTTAGACAGAGCTTCTGCTTATTCCAGTTCTCTCTCATCTCTAGGATACCACTGCAGGGCAGAAAACTGCTCACGAAACTTTCTCTTGATCCCCAAAACAGCCCCCCCCCCCAGGAAATAGGTTGGCCTCTTTTGTCTCTCATTAGTAGTAAAACATATGTAATTTTGAATGCTTTAAAATCCTATTCTAAAAAATATCCAGATCATACATTTAACATTGTGCTCTGGTAAAAATTTGATAATTAATCTGATAGTATGAAAACCGTGTGGTGAAATTTCAGTACTTAGCATAACCAGTATTATGTATAGTGAAAGCTTTTAGTTCAAATAAGAGAATTAACTTTCAAGTTAGAAAAGAATGTGTTTCCTGAATTTTTCTTCTTTTTACTTTAAAATTATGCAGGTGATATATGCTCTGAACACCAAAAATGATGAGCACGAATCTGCCATCCAAGCCCTCAATGATGCTCACGAAGAAGAAATACAACAAATTCTTGCAGAAACAAGGGAAAAAATATTGCAGTATAAAAGCACAGTAATAGAGGAGTCAGACCTTAGGAGAAAGATCCAAGTTTTAGAAGCGTCATTAGAAGAGCATATAAAAATGAAAGAGCAGGCCTTAACAGAATTTGAAGCTTATAAGCACCGTGTTGAGGACATGCAACTTTGTGCTGAAGCCCAGCATGTTCAGCGGATTGTAACTATGTCTAGAGAGGTTGAAGAGATTAGGAGGAAATTTGAGGAGAGATTAAGGAGTTTTGGACAACTACAAGTACAGTTTGAAAAAGACAAAAGGCTAGCATTGGAAGATTTGCGAACTGCTCACAAAAGGGAAATCCAAGAGCTATTGAGGTCACAGCAGGATCACAGCACCTCTGTGAATAAAGGGCTAGAGAAGGCCGAGGAGCTGCACAGAATGGAGGTGGAGGGCTTAAACAAAACCCTTGAGGAGCTGAGGCTTGAACAGAAAAAGCTAATTGAGGATTATGAAGGCAAGTTGAAAAAAGCGCAGTCCTTTTATGAACATGAACTTGATACTTTGAAAAGATCTCAGCTTTTTACAGCAGAAAACCTGCAGGCTAGCAAAGAGAAGGAAGCTGATCTTAGAAAGGAATTTCAGGGACAAGAAGCAATTTTACGAAAAACCATAGGAAAATTAAAGACAGAATTACAGATGGTTCAGGATGAGGCTGGAAGTCTTCGTGGCAAATGCGAAAAACTTCAGACAGCACTTGTTACAGCAGAAAATAGTGTTCAGGTAAGTAAAGAATGTTACAATCAATATGTGCCTTTTCCCAGATTTCTCCTTATCTTTCCAATTAAGGCAGTTTAATTTTTTTTTTAATTTTCTTTTTCCTACATTTCCTTTGTGGGGGGAAAAAAAAAACCTAAGGAATTTTGTTAGTTTGTACTGATTCTTTTCTACTAGAATTTGTTATCACAAAGCCAGAGAAAGGTAAGCTTAAAACCATTTAATTATTTATGAAAGGGTCTTTTTTAGTAAGGGGTTCCACTTTTTTTGGTTCACACCTAATGGTGCTCAGGACTTACTCCTGGCTCTACACTCTGGGATCACTCCTGGCAGGTTTTAGAGATCATATGGGGTGCTAGGGATTGAACCTGAGTTAACTGCATGCAAGGCAAACATCCTGCATATTGTACTATTGCTCCAGCCCCTAAAAGGTTTTTATTTTTGATTAAAAATGTTTTAATTAAAGAACCTTGATCCACATAGTTATTTATATTTGAGTTTTATACATTTCATATTCTAGCACCAATCATATCTCCAGTGTCAACTTTCCTCCACGAGTATTCCCATGTCCTCTCCTCTCCCCAGTTGCCACATTGACTGGCATATTTTAAAGTTTGGTATGTTGTTCAATGCTAAGACTTTGTTACGGGTTTTTACATAGAAGTTCATCAGAGAGACTGCTCTGAACTTTTGTTTTTTTAGGTTCTTCAAAAACAACTTAATGATGCCAAGGAAGAAGAGATGGCCTTAGTAAGCCAGCACAAGGAAGTGGAGAGTGAGCTTGCAGCTGCCAGAGAACGTTTACAACAGCAAGCATCTGATCTTGTACTCAAATCTAGTATGTCTGCCTACCCTTATTGGTGTATTCCTCAACTAACAGCAACACTGAAATGTTGGTTCACGACAAAATTGGTTGTACATTTATAGACTTGAAAATTATTTAGATTCTGTGCCAAAGGGATTATATTGTGGATAAAGTGCTTGCCTTGCAGACACGGCCAACCTGAGTTTGATCCCTGGCATACTGTATAGTTCCCGGAGCTTGCCCGGAGTAATTTCTGAGTGCAGAACCAGGCACCTGAATATTGCCAGGTGTGGCCCCAAGTCCTAAAAACAAAAAAACAAAAAGAAAGTTAAATTATTTAGCTTCTGAGTATTTTGAGAAACTCATATCTTCCCAAGCATTCATTTTTAGCAAAATATTTTTATGGCAAAGATTTAGAGGCAGCAGACATTATGGTACTCGTAAATCAGCCATTTAGAAGAAGAGTTATCTTTCTAAGAGGTGTTATTTATTAAAAACATGTTTTGCATTGGTTTTGATATTTATCATTTTTTTCTCTTGTGAACCAGAGCCAGTCCATGGACTGTACTGGCAGTTGAGAACCTCTGTTTTAAAGATTTAATATAGTGAAACTATATGTAAAATTTCACATTTGACTTAATAAACTCTCATTTCATATAGGAATGCAGAATTTACATGTTCTGATATGGGCCCCGTCCTATTTCCATAGCCTTGCAGGAGGGTATGAGTAACCTACTTTGAATTATGGTGGTCATTCAGTTTTGGTGATCTGAAATTAATTTTTTCCCGAGTGTTTGGTGTGCCAGGTGAAACTGTTAACCACTTCTTTGATCACAGAGTTCCATTAGCTCATTAGTGTAACTCAGTTTACTCTTCCCAGCCCCAGAGATTAGAAGTCAGCAGGGCAGTCTGTGGTGTGCAGCTTTTCCTACTAGAGTTCTTGGGTGTTGCTAGTTCAGATACTGGAAAACCACTGCAATAGTTCCACTTTCTGAGACCTTTTTCTCACGTATGCTTTTTCTTTCTCTCTCTTCTTGTTCCCTCCTTTTCTTTCCTTCCACCTTTTATTTGCTGCTGTGATTTATTTTTTCATAACCTTGCTTTTTTCTTATCTGTCTCTTACTCTGCCTTAGATTTATCAGATCTCTTGTCTAATATAAATTCAATTTCAGCCTAGCTTTTGCTTGTCATCTTTATGCCCTGCATACAGATTCCTTCCTCTTTTGTTAGAATTTGAAAAGAAAAAAACAAAAGAACAAGTAATTCATTTTGGGTCTATTGCATTAATGCATTCACTTGTACTTTGTTTGACTCACAAGACTTCTATATACACCCCTGAGGAGTTGCTTCTACTGCAGCTTACATAACTGCAATCTTAAAATAAGTAGCACCAGCACCACAAAGAACTTAGGTATAGGGAGCTACATCAGTAATGTGAAAAATTGACTTCTTATTTATTATTCTACTTGGTAAAAGAATTCCATCGTAAATATTTACCCTTTGTGTAAGCAAGGATACTAAAGACCATGTCTTTTACCAAGGTATTAATGTACAAATGTATCATTGTATATAACTGTTATTAACTATGGTACAATAGATTTTAAATTGGAGGAATATTTTGTTTTGGGGACTAGGTCATATTGGAATGCTTCAAGCAACTCAAATGACACAGGAGGTCACAATTAAAGATCTAGAATCAGAAAAATTAAGGGTCCATGAGAAATTATCTCAGCTTGAAGAAGAAAGAACTTTATTGCAAAGCAAAACTCAGAGTCTGAGTGAAGAGCAGACGCACCAGATTTTGGAACTGGAGAAGGTAAAAAAGCAGCAAAGGATTCCACACTCCTCTCTCATCCCACCCCTGAGAAAGAAAATTTCATTTTCCTCTTTTCAGATTTGATGTGGAATATTTACTCCTACTCCATAGAAATAGTGTATTTCTTTACTATTTATAGTATATCTTTATTAGGATTTTGCTTTGTTTTGTTTTTATTTTGAGGAAACAGGGTATATAGCTGGACTATCTCACATTGAGTTTAAAGTAAGTAAAGGCCCTCCCGTTGATCATCGATTTGCTCAAGCGTGCCCAGTAACGGTTCCATTGGAGACTTTGTTGTTACTGTGTCTGGCATATCTAATACGTCACGGGAGCTTGCCGGGCTCTGCCGTGCGGGCGAGATATTCTCGGTAGCTTGCCGGGCTCTCCGAGAGGGGCAGAGGAATAGAACTCGGGTCCTCCATGTTGGATGCGTGCAAGGCAAATGCCCTACCGCTGTGCTATCGCTCCGCCTCACACATTGAGTTTATATTAAAAATATTTGTAGTAAAGTTTACATGATGTGAAAATGAGGCATTTCAACCTATTTCATAATTTATATAATGTGAAAATGAGACTGCTCAGCTTATTTCAAGCAAGGAATGGGATAGTTTTTTTCAATGGAATGTTCATTTATGTTTAATATTTTTTGCTTTTCTATTGCTGAAACATATTGCATATACATCTAGGAGAAATTTTTGTAAAACTGAAAAGTATAATAAGTATCAAGTTCTAAAATCTCATATCAACATACTGAATTTCTGGAGTAATTGCTGAATATTTATTCCAATTTTTCAGATGTCTACAATACAGTGGGAGTTTTGGATACTCTTTCTCCTTTCCTCAGCAGTCAAGCATATTGAAAAATGTCTATTCTTGCCCCTTGTTCACCTCCCATTCACTCCTTAACCAGGTGCAGTCTGGTTTTTCTTACCACCACTCCACAGGATCTGCATTTGCCTCAGCCTCCAGTGATACCCTAGTTGCTGGACTTGATGGATCTTATCTTACTGTGGTACTTATTCCTCTCTGACTTGTGTTTTCTTTTGGTACTTCAGTTCTCTTGTGTTTTTCTATCTCCCTGGCCTTGCATTCCTGTTTGTGAACTTTGCTCCTCCATCTGTTCTTTTCCTAGTGATGTGCCCCTAGCATTTCATCTCATTCCACATGCGCATCCATTCCAGTAATATTAACTGTCACCTTGTTCAGATATAGTTCTCATATCTTACCAGGCTAGACCAGATATTTTCCCTGAGCTTGAGTTCTGTATATCTGATATTCCCAGAAGATGCTTTTCTTTCTCAGAAATATGTCAAATCAGCATGTCTAAAAAAAACTCTGTTTTCAAAAATGCCATCTTCTTTTTTCTACCTGTATTGCTACAGCGTATCTAGTTTAGAAAATCAGAAAACTGGGAATAATTTCTGGTACTGTTTCCTTAACCCTTTTCTTTGTTATTAAGCAAGTTTAACTCCCTTAATATATTTTTGTTTCTTCCTTTCCTCTTCACACAGTTTTGTATTGTATTGTACTACCTGGGCTTATGCATCTGTCCTTTTTTCCCCTAGTTTATAGTTCCAAACCTCTTAATCACATTCCCTGATGGAGTCAGCTCACTAGATTACTGTCATTATAGATGACTGTTTTTAAAAATGTCAGATTCCTAATTTTCAGGATTAGTTATTTCTTATAGAATAAAATTGAGTCCTGTCATAAAAGACCCCTTCTCATCATCTGACTCCTACCTATTTCTGAACTTAATCTCTCCCACTCTTAGCCTTGTATCTTATGTTCAGTTCATACTACTGAACTGTGTGGTCTTCCTATTGGCCTAAATGTTGCTCTTTGGTTAGTTACTACTCATCTTTCAGAATGCCAGAATTGGTTATAAATGCAGACTTTTGACATTAGGCTCAAATTTCCCGATGGGCTACTTACAATGTGAGATAATCATATGTTATCATCATCACTATGAGTGCTTTTTTCTGGAAAGTCTTCCCTCTCCTTCCTTTCTTCTTAATTGTCTTTCTCTTTCTCTCTCTCTCTCTCTCTCTCTCTCTCTCTCTCTCTCTCTCTCATGCACACACACACAAACACACACACACACACACACGACTCATACTTTCCTACCTCCTCCTCCAGGTCACACATGGTACACTCTATTCATAAAACTTATAAAATTATATTGCCATTTTTGCCTCTTTATCATTATACCGTGCATGCTTAAAAAGCATGTAATTGACAGTAAAATTGTATCGAGTAACATCATTTCACTAATTGGTAGACCATTTATGTACAACTTTGACATACATTAAGACTTTATTAAGCTTGCAGATGTGCTAATTCATTTTAGGCTTTAGGCTAATAATCATCTAATTTATTGCTTACATTAAAATTACTCATTTTGCCTGTGCTACCCTGTCATTTTCTGAGAACAGCTATGGTGTATTCTCATGTTCCATAGTCTAAATCTCGTAGCATTCAGCTCATTTGAGTTTATGTGTTTACTGAATATTCAGAATTCTAATAGGAGTAATGAAAAACACAGGTGCCAATTATTGATTTTTATTTGTTTTAATTTTAGAAAGTAAATGAAGCAAAGAAAACTCAGCAAGAATTTTATGAGATGGAGCTTAAAAATCTGCAAAATAAATTAGAAGGGGATGTGGCTCAATTAAATGAAGCCCATTCTAAGACTTTGGAAGAATTAGCTTGGAAGCACCATATGGCAATTGAAGCTGTCCACAGTAATGCAGTTAGGGATAAGAAAAAGCTTCAGATGGTGAGCAAAAATTTAGTTTCATATTGCATTGTAAACTGTCGGGTTTCTGTAACAACTCAGCATGCCTTATATTGAGGTATAGCATGTTACTTGACTTTGATGACTGCAATCTTATAATCAGTTCACAGAATTGCACACATAAAATTCTTCATATTGGCTATAGTTCCTTACATTGACCTGAGCATTTCTACTTTGTATATTTGTAGTGGAAACAGTTGCTATATCTTGGGTATCTCATTATGAAGCAGCAGCATTTTTCTTGTACATATCAGGAAACCTCTACTAGTTGAAGGCTTATTCTTCTATATTTTCTCTTCATGGGATTTGTTCTGTGTTGTTTTCCTCAACAAAGTAATTGGCTTACTAATAGTAATGCATGATAACTAGTTTTGCTTAGAAAACCACAAGGTCTGATGGATGTGGACCTTTTTTGTGGGGGGAGAGAGCTGGAGGTGTGGTTTGGGACACACCAGCTATGCTTGGGAATTACTCCTGCCTCTGTGCCCTGTGCTCCCTGATCATTCCTGATGGTGCTTGGGGTACCGTGTGGGGTGTTGCAGCCCAAGCCCAGGTCAACCACATGCAAGGCAATACTCTCTCTCCAGCCCCCAGATGTATCTCAGCCTTAGTTCTTTGTTCACTAGCTATCTGACCCTGGTCCCAAAAGCTGCATCTCAGGTTCTTCATCAGACAGAGGAAGATAAGGTCACTCTTGTAATATGTCTGTGAGGATTGTGATGAAGTGCCAAGACTCAGACAGTTCATAGCATATATTAATATATTAATAAGTATGAAATATTAGCTTATCCTACTGCATACCAGATACAATAAAGTGTGTTTTTACTTATTTTTTATTTAGTCCTTTTAGCACCACTACAGATTTGTTTCTATTTCCATTCTAGTAAATAGGAAGTACATAGAGAGTCAGATATTACCTCATTATCAGGAATCAAGTTCTAAATCATTTAAACAGCACATCATATAGACAACAGCACATCATATAGACATGGATTAATCATGGTTTTTACATGTTTTTTATAATAGCACCATAAAGACTCTTGTTTTGGTTTTATTGGATTTTGGGTCATATATAGTTGGATTCTGGGGTCACTCCTAGCAATATTCAGTGGACATATGGGGTGCCAGGGATTGAACCTTACCCACGGTCACGATCCTCCCGTTGTTCGTCGATTTGCTCGAGTGGGCCCAGTAATGTTTCCATTGTGAGACTTGTTACTGTTGTTCAATATTTGCATATTGAATATGTCACGGGTAGCTTGCCAGGCTTTGCTGTGCGGGCGAGATACTCTCGGTAGTTTGCCAGGCTTTCCGAGAAGGGGGGAGAAATCGAACCTGGCTTGGCCAGGCCGACTACGCACAAGGCAAACGTCCTACTGCTATGCTATCGCTCCAGCCCAACCTTACCCATTGTAAGTATTACTCTTCGGTAATAGCACCTCTAGAATAGCACTTTAAAGTTTACTAAGATGCTTTTAAAAATAGATTTTTTATAATTCTGATTTGGTTATAAATTAATTTTTGTTTTATATAGTTAATACATTTTTTTAGTTTTGGGTCACATTGAGTGGTACTTATTCTTGGCAGTCTCTGGGGAACCCTATGGTGTACTGGGGATCAAACCGAGGTCTTTTGCATGCATGGCAAGTTCTCTACCCTTTGTACTTTCTCTCTGACCCCTAGAGCTGAAATAGATTTAATTACCTAAACTAAGTTTTCAAAGCCATAAGCCTAACAAATGGAAGATGTAGCCCTTGAATTGAGATCTTCTGCTTCTGTTTCCCTTGCTTTTGTGGCACATCTAACTGGAAATATTCAGTATTCAAACTCATTTAATTTAAAACTTAGAATTTCGTGTTGGAATGTGTTTTTTTCTACTTAAACATACTCTGTTGTGTTTATGTAGCTAGAGACAAAATGTAATGATGTTATTTCTCAATAATTGTGTTTGTGATTTTCTCGGAGCTGGCTCACTGTCTCTTGGCCAGTTTATGCAGCTTCTTTGTGTGATGTGTATATGCTAGGATGGGCCTGTCAAGTGTTAAGGTTTTATAATGTGTACCAGTAACTGCTGCTCCAGTGATCTTTCTCATAGTGACCTCCTCCCACCCCAATTTTTACATCTTTTTCACCACAACCTCCTCTCTTATTGCTAAATACACACACACACACACACACACACATATTTGCTTTTTGGGTCACACTTGGCAATGCACAGGGGTTACTCCCGGCTCTGCATTCAGGAATTACCCCTGGCGGTGCTCAGGAGACCATATGGGATGCTGGGAATCGAACCCGGGTCGGCTACATGCAAGGCAAATGCTCTACCTGCTGTGCTATTGCTCCAGCCCCTCTCATTGGTATCATTAAATTTCAGGTCTCCAGCTGTTAGTTTCTTCTATGCCCCTCCATTAAGTTCTAAGTGCTGGAGTCAAGGCATCTTTCATGAGTATCTTCTTTGCATCATTATTTCACTCACTATAATCCTTTTACTCATTACATTTCATTTTCTGAACTTACTGAAAAATCTTTCAGCCACATGCTTTTTGACAATCTTTCTTTCTAACTGCAGTTGCCATAAGAAAGAGGATATGAGTTTCCTGGTGGTGCCCAAAGTCAAATCTCCTGTTATAACCTTATCTGCCGTCTTCTCTTTCTCAAAGCGACTTATTTATGACTTGGTGCTTCACTTCTTTCAGTCTAGCTAATTTATATATGAGCTCAAGCTAAAACTAGCTTTCTTTCAGAATAGTCTTTTTCAGATGACATCTTTTTTGTGAGCTAAATATGATTTATTAATTTCTTTTACTTAGTTAGCAACCAACCAATGATTATATTTTCCTTCACAACTTTACTGCAACCACCTTATTTGAAAGTAAGTGTATAAGGAAGAATTGATGCAGAAAAGAATTAACACAGCAGTCTTGAAACTATTTTTGTTGGTCTTTGGCTGCTATTTGGGAAGGTTCCTAGTAACAGTGACTCACTGTATCTTAATTGTTTATGCAAACAATATGGTTTATGCTGAACATCTGCTTTCCTTCTGAGAGTCAGCAGTTTGGGTACATGCTAGTCAGGGCTTTCGTACCTGGCCAACATGTTAAAAAAAAAAAAAACATCTGGCCACAGTACTTTTCAGAGCCTTCCTTGTAGACGATATCTCATATTGCTGGAGAGTTTTGGAAGAGGAAAATGAGAGGGGGTATCTGGCTTTCTGGAGATTTCCCCCATGTACCTTTTCACTTTGATGAATGTATTCTTGTTGTAATAAGTCATTTCTGTGAGTAGGACCATAATCAGAGTTCTGAGAATCATCTCACCAAGTCATCAAACTTCAAAGTTTTCTTGGAAACTATCACATAGAACCCTGTTTATTACTCTTTTCCATAGTACATTCATACCATGCTCTTTTATAATGCATGGCTTTTGCGTATACTTTTTCTAATGCCAAAATGTCATATATTACCATTTGCTTCACATTCCTTTTTCCGTTGTATTCTTCCAGACTATAGTTAAGATGGATGGGGACTGGAGAGATAGTACAGTGGGTAGGGTGCTTGTTTTGCATGTGGCCGACCTGGGTTTGATCCTTAGCATCCCATATGGTTCCTCAACTACCACCAGGAATAATTCCTGAGTCCAGAGCCAGGAGTAAAGTAACCCCTGTGCATCACCAGGTGTGGCACCAAAACAAAACAAGAATCACTCTTTATATAGGAAGGTTTCATCACAAAGCTAGATTTGTGGTTTTTTTTTTTTTTGGTGGTGCGGGGGGGTGGGGGGGTGGGGTCTTTGTGTCATACCTGGCAATGCTCAGGGGTTACTCCTGGCTCTGCATGCAGAATTACTCCTGGCAGTACTGAGGGGACCATATGGGATGCTGGGGGTTGAATACGGGTCAGCTGTGTGTAAGGCAATCAATCACCCTACCCCCTGTCCTATCACTCCAGTCTCATAAAGCTAGATCTTACCAGTTCTCCATCCCTTTATTCCTGTACCCAATGATAATGGTTTCTAACTTGTGATCTTTGTTGCATAGTGTCATGAGTTTATTCAGAGCAGGTACCAGGTCTTACTGCCTTTGTTGCCAAATTTTTCAGAAGTATGCCTTGCTACTTCTAGGTGTTCTTTAGAAAGTATCAATTTTGCTGGTATTGCTCTTCAGACACCTTAATTTTTGTACCTGTAAATTTTCAGCTCTTGACCACCAAATGCAGATTTGTCACTGAACTTTTGAAAAGATGTAAAAGAATTCTGAAGATTTTTTTTAATATCACCAAATTATTATTTATATTAGATGTCAACTTTTTCACCAAAACTATAGTCAGAATCTTTTTTTAGTCTTACCTTCCACAAAATTTACTTTATGTCAAAAGTTAATTTTGGCATAAAGTTTTTAACTGTAGTCATAACTCAGTATGATAAAATTTAAGCCACCAAATTTAATTAGTTCAGTGTTCTGATAGTGATAGTTAAGGCTAAGGCTGATTTGTAGAGCAAAGTTATCCAGATCAGGATATAAAACAGAGAGTTCTTTGAAATAAACAATATGTGATATTTTAATTATATATTTAATATAGCATATTTATATATTATATATAATAATGTAATATATACTATATAATAAAATATATAAATTATATATTTTTTTCTTTCCCTAAGGAATTGGAGGAGCAATATGAAAAAGAGAGGCTAACCTTAGAAGAGGATAAAAACCATCTTCATCAAGAACTAGAAAACCTGAAGGAAGAACTGGAAAGCAAGCTGAGTATAGCCAATCAAGAGGTAAGGATTCTTTGGCCTTATTACCTGTTATGTATTAATTGTAATATTTGCTATTATTGTGTAATAACCCCAATAAAGGTAATAGGTAGGTTAGAGAGAATCAAAACACTTTCATTAATGTTGGATTTTTCACAGTTCATTGGTTATATCTCATCATGTAAATTGATCTACCTATTGTCTGTCATCTATAAGCTGTTCACTTGAATCATCCTGAATGATTGACAGAACACTAGATGAAGGACAACCATGCGAGCAAGCCGAGTTCTGCAAAGGATTCAGCACGATTGACCATATCCACACCATAACCAAGCTCATTGACGTTTCTTGGGAGTTCAAGATGCCGCTCTGCCTAACGTTCATTGATTTAAAGAAAGCCTTTGATTCTGTTGAGACAGAAGCGGTCATCGAAGCCCTAGCCAATCAGGACATTCATACTCAATGCTTCAGGATCCTCCATGTGCTGTATTACGGATTCACTACCAGGATCTCACCATTCTACAAAGAAGGGATCATTGATGTCAAGAGAGGGATTCGGCAGGGTGATAACTATTTCACCGAAACTCTTCAGTGCCACCCTTGAGAACATCATGTGACGACTGGAATGGGAAGGAATGGGAGTGAAGATAGATAGTCGGCAACTACACCACCTCCGCTTTGCTGATGACATCATTCTAATAACACCAAACATTAACTAAGCAGCACAAATGCTGGCCAACTTCAATCATGAGTGTGGAAAGGTCGGACTCCAGCTGAATCTCACGAAGACATTGTTTATGAGAAACGGTCTCGTTCCTGATGTTCCATTTGCTCTCAATGGAACGACCATCTCCGAATGCAACAGTTATGTGTACCTAGGTCAAGAAGTCAACGTGACAAATGACCTGGCGCCTGAGTTGCGCAGGAGGAAGAGAGCGGCTTGGAACGCCTTCCAGAACGTCAAAGAAATAGCTAGGTGATTAGTAACGGATGTCAAGTGATCAAGTGATCAAGTAAATTGTACTGCAAAAATATTAGATCAGGTTGCTTTTGGAAAAAGGCGGAGTGGGAAAACATCATCATATTGAAAAGAAAACAAAAGATGGTTCTCTACCCTTTTGAAAAACATAAACTTAGTTTGTGCTGTACTATTTCTGTATTTTAAAAGGACATGGCAAATTCTACTTAATGACATATAAAATAGTTTTTCTTAAGCACATATTCTTCTTACATGAAGAACTTCATTGGTGACACTGATTTATTTCCCTTGCAAAAGACCACTTTGCAGCCAAGTGAAGTGAACATAACTTCAAGGTTTATCTTCATAATAAAAGAGAAAACTTAGACCTCTATCACTTGGCTCTGTCATCCCGTTTTTAAAAAAAGCTCCTAGTTCAAAATTCTTCTTAAAGACCACCATAGTTTTAGATATGGAGTTGGACTCGGGGCATGCAAGCTAGCACAAGTTGTAGTTAACCTTTTCTGGGAAGTTCACTTTGTCTGCTCTCCATAACCACTTTGCTTCCTGCCATTACCGACTTTTCTCAGGCACACAGAATCCTTGCCCTTCCTGGTCTGTGTCACTTTCTATGGCTGATGCTATGCTTCTAACAAGAAGTGAGATGGGTTTTAGAAATGTTCAGCAGGATTTTGGGGTCATTGTCTGCTAGGAGAGCCTAAAACAATTCTTAAATGTTTGTTATGCAATTAGAATTGTTTAGCTTGGGAAAGCTAAACATTATAATAAAAATTGTGAATAAAGGGCCGAGGAAATAGATAACTACATGAAATCCATGTGTGAGACCCTGAGTTCAATCCCTGATACCACATATCCACACTCCCGATACTGCTCCATGTACCCTGCTTGTCCCTGACCACCTTGGACCTTGACCCGCAACCATCAGGCCCACATTGCATGCTGAGCATCTCCCGACTGGTCCCAGGCTTGCCAGCATTGCTGGATGGGGCACTGTTCAAAAGAAGCTATGACTGAAACATAAAGACAGTTTGAAAAGCAAATTGTTTGTTCTTTCCTTTCTATTGCCTATACCTGCTTTCCTGCTGCTGTGCTGTTTTCCTTCTGTTACAGCCTCATCCTTGCAGCTCATCTTTGCTGTAGTGTAGACTTGTCTTGACACTTGTCTCCTAAGGGCTGTTTCTACCTCACTGGCATTATGTTCCCCAACTGTTTTTAAATGCTGCTTTCTCATCATTCGACTTCTGCTCTTAGAGACCACAAGCTAATAATTTGTACTTAGTGTTCTTTAATTATCTTCAAAGATTTATCCAAAGAAGACTCTAAACACTACATTTGGGAATGATAGAGAATTAAGGTTGTTACTGATATTATTAGCTCAGCTTCTTTTCTCTTGTTTGAGATAGTCCACTGTTGACTAGAAATCTGTGTACCTCTCTTGGCGGTGGAACACGACTCTGGTATTTATAGTGTCTCTCTCTATCTCTCTCCCCTCTCTCTGTCTCTGTCTCTCCCTCTCCCTCTGTCCCTTTGTCCCTCTCTTCCCTGTCCCCCTCTTTTCTTCTCTCTCCCTCCATTCTCCTTAGAAGGCAGTTTCAGTGACTACTTGTATTTCTCACACAAGTCTCCTTGGATTCTACTCTCAAGTTCCAAATGGTTTAAATTTTCTTTCAACCTACCTACAGTAATATCACTGGGAAGAGTTCTAATAAGTATGCAATTGGCTTTCCTTCTGGTACGCTCACAATTATGTTTTAGCACATGGGTAGTGTTTTCGTGCCATGTTAGAATGGCTCCCCAGGAGTCTCCCGGCTCATTTCTCCTTATGTGCACCTGCCTTCGCTTCAGCCTGCGGCATCTTTTTTTTTTTGTCCTACTTTGCTCCACAGGAGCTCCAGAGATAATAAGCATTCTTGTTTTGCTTCCTGCTTTTAAAGTGAAGTATGTCAACCTTTCACGGATAATTATGATCCTTTTCTAAAGTTTATTTTGTAAATTCTCAATCAGATTTGGGAAATTGTCTTATAATTCTTATTTCCTAATTTAAAAAAGTCAAAAATTGATGTTTGGTTTTTTTTTTTTGCATCTATTAAGATCATACTTTTCCCCTTTAATTTGTAAATGTTGTACGTTCTGTAACTTTTCTAACCTTAGATTTCTAAAATAAGACCAAGTTAGTTATGATAATATATATTATATATGATGATCATAATATATATATACATATGATATATATATAGCACCGTAGCACCGTCCTCCTGTTGTTCATCAATTCGCTCGAGCAGGCACCAGTAACGTCTCCATTGTGAGACTTGTTACTGTTTTTGGCATATCGAATACATCACGGGTAGCTTGCCAGGCTCTGCCGTGTGGGCGAGATACTCTTGGTAGCTTTCTGGGCTCTCCGAGAGGGATGGAGGAATCCAACCCAGGTCGGCCACGTGCAAGGCAAACGTCCTCCTCGTGCTATTGCTTCAGCCCCAAGCATTCATATATAGATAGGTAAATGCAAACAATATATCATGATGTGTGTGTGTGTGTGTGTGTGTGTGTTTGTGTGTATGAATGATACTAGATTTCAGGTACTAATATTTCTTTTGGAATTTTTTGGCCTAGGTTTCGGAGAGATTGCTTTGTACATTTTTTATGCTATCATTTTCTGGATTTGTAATCAAGATTATACTAACTTCAAAAAATAAAGTAGAACATATTCCCTTTTTTCCCCCTAGAAAGTTGCATGGTACTGAGATGCATATTTAACCTTAATTATAGAAAGGTTAGAATTTGTGGTTTGTTTAAAAACACTTTTGAAACCTATTAAGGCTAGTACTGTGACCTAGTACATAAATGAACTTTAGATTTCTAGGGCATCCACTTGTTTAATGTAATGCATTATTACACTAGTTTGTTAAATCAAGATTTTAAGCAATTTTCTTAACATATTTTTTTTTTATTATTATTGACTAATTGACTATAAAACCCAGCTCCCAGAAGCGCAGCCGCAAATGCCTTATTATCTCATTCTTGCTTTTGACAACCCGGCAGGCCACCAAATGTAACCTGCCCACACGGCAGAGTCTGGCAAATTCCCCGTGGTGTACCCAATATGCCAAATACCAGTAACAATGATGGGTCTCATTCTCCTAACCCTGAAAGAGCCTTGAATGTGGCACTTTTTAGAATCTCCAGGGCTAGGATGAAGGAGACATTACTGGTGCCTGCTCGAGGAAATCAACGAACAACAGGGTGATTGTGATCGTGATTGACTAATTACTAAAAACCCATACCATAGGGTGAATTTGTTTAGTTTTCCTTACATTGTTAGTTTTTGCTTTTATATTTAGCTGCTTTGTTATGTGCATACAATTATAAAATTGAGTTTTTCTGTTCAGTGAATTTTACTTTTTGGCTTACTTTGTATTTTTTGATCTTGTATAATCAGCATTTTTTAAGTTTGATATGACTAGCTATCTTTTACCATACAGTGCATTTTAGCCTGTATGTGAATTTTGAATATGTATATATGTATATATATGTATATATATATGTATATATAGCCAACCACATACACTTTAGGAAAAAAAACTAGTATTAAATTTTTACCTTTTAAGCAGAGTCTATTCTGTTTACATTTTAGAAGAATAAGGTAAAGGTAAGGTAAAGGCCCTCCCGTTGATCGTCGATTTGCTCGAGCGGGCCCAGTAACGTCTCCATTGGAGACTTTGTTGTTACTGTGTCTGGCATATCGAATACTCTCGGTAGCTTGCCGGGCTCTCCGAGAGGGGCGGAGGAATCGAACTCGGGTCGGCCATGTTGGCCGCTTGTAAGGCGAACGCCCTACCCGCTGTGCTATCGCTCCAGCCCTAGAAGAATAAATAGATGTGTATCTGTTGTAATATAGAAGAAAAAATCAGAAGTACTTTATAAAAAGTTTTCTGTGTTTTAGAAAAAAATTGAATATATATTTAAAATAAAATTAGGAGCTGGAGTGATAGCACAGCAGGTAGGGCATTTGCCTTGCACGTAGCCGGCCCATGTTCAATTCCCA